CCCCCATCCCCCTGAGCCGTTGTACTCCACCGTTCTGTCTGTTTACTATGAAAAAACAAAAGAGGAGCAATAGTTTCTGTAGTTAAGGAGGAAAAATAATGATAAAACTATGAACAGCACTTTATTGTCCACAACTCAGTTCTTATTGTTTGTTGTAAGGAGCCATTCCAAAGATATGAATCATTCACAAATGTTACATCACTACTCTAAATGAGTGGCAGAAGATGGCGATGGAGATCTCTACAGTGTTTTATGTCATTCCCAGTTTGGAAGAGAAAAGTCAGTGGAAGTCAGTAAGACTTTGGATGTTTGCACTCTGAGGAAATTCTTACAGCAAAGATCATTTTAAAAACTGAAGACTGCATAAATGTTAGGTTTAGACACAACAAAGATTAGAGTGTCACATCACCACACTATTTCCACATTTCATAGTAAAATCTCAAAAAAACCATCAAAATTAATCCATCGAAACACATGTGACAATGAGACAGTGATCTCATCAGGACTGTATGGTGGTCTATTACTGACTGAAGTCATATCTATGTTCATCACAGTTTAATAATCAGACTGAGATTAGAAGGACATTTATTTATACATGTATTTATTGGGACAAGTGGCAGGAGACAGGCCTCAGTTTACCTGTAAACAAAACAGAAGAAGCAGTGTTTGGTGATTTTATTCTTCTGTAAAATGTTACATGATGGTCCGACTTTTCTGAAATGTTAGTATGTACAGCTGTTAGATGTTGGAAAATATGTTTTTATGTCGTGAATGGACTGACAAAGCCTTCCCTGGAGGTTCATGTAGCTGCAGTTTGGTTCCAGGAGGAAACCTGTAAGTGGGATTACTTCCTGCTTCATGACTGAGATGAACTGTAACATCTCTTCACTCATCAGTACCAAAGAAAGTCCATTCCAGTCAGTTTACAGTGACTTTTACTGATTCAGTCAGGAGAAGCTGTCCTCTGGACTCACAGTTTGGACAGGATGTCTGGTTCCAGAGTCCTGTCCTGTCCTGGTTTCTGGGAGCTGAGGAAAGTGTGATCCTGATTTAAGTAAGACGTGATGAACTCTGGGAAGTGTCTCTTCTGGACAATCTCCAGGAACATGTCTGCTGCTGTGTGTAACCTGTGTTTGGACCTGAACAGAGACAGAACGTATGACTGGMGAGACTAGAGGACATGAAGACTCAAACAGACACATTTCAGGACACAAATACTGAAAAGACTCAAACAATTCAGACAAAATGTAAGATTTTAGAACAAATTAGTTATGATCATCCATCATACATCATCCATCCATCCATCATCCATCCATCCATCATCCATCCATCATACATCCATCATCCATCCATCATCCATCCATCCATTTATCATCCATCCATCCATCCATCATCCATTTATCATCCATCCATCCATCCATCCATCATCCATTTATCATCCATCCATCCATCCATTTATCATCCATCCATCCATCTATCATCCATCCATCCATTTATCATCCATCCATCCATCCATTTATCATCCATCCATCCATCCATTTAAACATCTTAACCTCCGGGGAGAACATGTCATTTCCACACAGAAAGGTCTGAGAGTTGAACCTGTAACCTTCTTACTATGACAGGTGGTCTTTTGTACTGTAAGGCCAGGCTTGGGTTCATACCTGGGCTTTGCGTGTTTGCATTAGCCCTTATGGCCCAGTTCCACCCTGATTTCTGGAACCACAAGAGCTCCGGTTCTATTCAGGCTGGCCTGCCTAGCCTGAGTTGATGTCAGCTACTGTTGCTCACTGATTGATTCTCTGATTGGAGGCATCATGTCAAACATATGAGAGTAACTTTGTGTGAATCGTTTCCAGTAACTTTAACATAATCTTCACACAAGTTCAACTAAAATCCGAAGCAAGCTTCCAAATAACAAAAGGCTAATATTAGCTACCATTAGTTTATACTGTCCTCTGATATCCTGCACTCTAATCTTCAGCATCATGCGGCTGGACGGTTCATTACAGACTTTTATAYTTTTCCTTTGAGTGTGGTTTACTTCATMGTTCTTGTGTTGCAAATGAGATGAAGTAAGATTTACGTGTTTTTAATACAACGATCCCRTCCACATYGAGRCAAACACAACCAGGGCYKGAGTAGAATAAGRCCAGGCCCACTGGAGCCAGGTTGGGCCTTACAATGCAAAAAGGTCTAAGTAGAGTTCAAAATAAAACAAACAGAACCAAATTTAATCTAAATGGGTTGTACTCCTGAACTAGAGAAACACTAGAATGGCCACTGACAGTGGTTAGGTGAGATATTTGGCAGCCATCTTGAGTCCTTTGTCTGTCACTTTGTATTGATTACATGTGGAARTGGGAAACTGTTCAATTGGGGACCAAATTGCAATATTTGTTTAAATTTTCATCTGTTGTGGTTTTCATTCACACTGCACTTTGTCAAACGAACTAAACCCTGTGAACAACCTGTTCCCTCCWTCACCTGTGATGGCGCTGCACCAAGAACCACTAAAGGAATCGACACAAAAACCTCTGAAGACAACACTGAGCACAACTTCCTTCTTCACAAAATGTCAACAAACATGGAGTGACATCTGATTTGGGTGGTTGTAGGATTTATTTTTTCTTTTYGACAAATGTGCCAAACAAGAGCTCAGCATGAGAGGAAGATGAGGTGGAACCATGGAGAATATTGTTTTCCMCACATGGTGGCTCCATGTGAGGCAGCGTTCATTGAGCATGATTACTGTTATTCCTCAAAATGTCTTGTGTTRTAGTCGGTTTCCTGCTTTTACAGCAGTCTCCGGTTCGCTTGGCGTTCACACATTCAATCAACCAAACCAAGATCTACAACTTTAGGTGGACTAGAGTTCACTCTTTTGGTCCACATCAGTTTGATTTTGCGTTCMCACCTTCCCAAATGAATTGGRCTTTCTAGAAAAAYGAACTAGGGTTTRATTAAAGTGGACTAAGCAGGGTTAATACACCCTAGTGATTTAGCATTAGGATTTAAATTCATACTCAGTCTGATTACCTYAGCCCACAGCAGTAAGATAATTTGTACTTTTAATGCTCTTTTGATTGGGATTAGAATAAACAGGTTAGTGCAGCACATTTCAGTAGGTCTTCTTACCCAACAGAGTGACAGAACGGACCAAGCTCAGCCATGAGCTCCTGGGTCAGATCCGTCACCAGCTGTCTGCTCACCACCCTGCTGTCATCCTCCAATCGAGCCTGATGACGTATCCACTGCCACACCTGAGACACACACACGTCCATCACAAACACCATTAACATGCTTCGAACATAAGGGCGTTCATAAACGCATGTGGCACCAGGATACCCTGGGTCATAAATCGATGATTGACTTTGTTGTTGTGTCAGCAAGACTCTGGGGGTGTACAAGATCAGTTCGGAGTTCCTTAAAGCTCTGGATGTTGCTGGAATATCTTAGCTGACACTCCTTTACGACATTGCAATCTGCTGCTTCCACATGACATGTAATGATTAGAACTTTGGTTGGGACTGACCAGTCTCCATCACTCCAGAACCACATGGTTCAGCTGTAGCTCTGAGCTTGGTGACATATTGGCTCATATTTTCATCAACACAATGATCATGTCTGAATGTTTGTCAGGTGCAATCACATCGTCGTGTCACTTCTTCTGTTGCCAATGGGTGAAGTCATCAACAAGCCATCATCGTTCCCGAACATGGAGAGATCCTCAGTGATGTAAATCAAATGAAAGGTGAGCTGGAGAATTTATTAACCAGCATGTCCCCAGTATCTCTGCYTCCAGAGCCCCCTGTTTGAGGAGAGTTACCAGATACTTCAGAGTCCCATCCTCCCATGCCCACAGTGTTTCCTGAGGCTCCTGAGTCATCAGAGTCCCCAACTCCTCCCTCATCTTTCTTTGGGTTCCCACCTCCTCCTTCATCTTACTTTGGGTCCCCATCACCTCCCTCATCTTCCTTTGGGTCCTTGTCACTTCCCTCATCTCCCTTTTAGTCCCCATCTCCTCCCTCATCTTCCTTTGGGTCCTTGTCACCTCCCTCATGTTCCTTCGGGTCTCCATCACCTCCCTCATCTTCCTTTGGGTCCTCGTCACCTCCCTCATGTTCCTTTGGGTCTCTATCACCTCCCTCACCTTCCTTTGGGTCCTCGTCACCTCCCTCATCTTCCTTTGGGTCCTCATCAACTCCCTCATCTTCCTTTGGGTCCTCATCAACTCCCTCATCTTCCTTTGGGTCTCCATCACTTCCCTCATCTTCCTTTGGATCTCCATCACCTCCCTCACCTTCGTTTGGGTCCTCGTCACCTCCCTCATCTTCCTTTGGGTCTCCATCACCTCCCTCATCTTCCTTTGGGTCCCCATCACCTCTTTCACCTTCCTTTGGGTCCCCATTTCCTCCCTCATTTTACTTTGGGTCTTCGTCACCTCGCTCATCTTCCTTTAGGTCTCCATCACCTCCCACATCTTCCTTTAGGTCTCCATCACCTCCCACATCTTCCTTTAGGTCTCCATCACCTCCCACATCTTCCTTTAGGTCCCCATCACCTCCCTCATCTTCCTTTAGGTCTCCATCACCTCCCTCATCTTCCTTTAGGTCTCCATCTCCTCCCTCATCTTCCTTTAGGTCCCCACCTCCTCCCTCATCTTCCTTTAGGTCCCCATCACCTCCCTCATCTTACTTTGGGTCCCCACCTCCTCCTACATCTTACTTCATCCCAGTTCAATTCTGATTTTTTGTTTGTTTGCCTTTTGTCTTCCATGGTTGTTTTTATCATTGCTAATTTTTGGTTTGTGTTTGTGCCTTCTTTCCAATGTGTTCCCTCCACCACCCTCCTGAGTTAGATTTTGTTTTGTTCAGGCATGTCGGGTGCCATCCCTTAGAGCGTGGATTTTGTAGAGTTTTTGTTTATGCTCCCTTGTGTCTGTGTTGTACCTACTCCTTTGTGTTCCTCCAGCCCCTCCCACTCCTGCTTGTCTCCTCACAGGTGCATTTAAGTCTTTGTACTTGAAAGTCAGTTCTACATAATGTTAGCTCCCTGTCATGTTTGGGGTTTTCTCTTCATGTTCTCTCCTTGTGAAATGGTAAATTCAATACAAATATAACAATCAGCAGAAACATCCATGAATTTCATAATGCTTAATTTGCCTCACTGAAAGAGGAGCTTTGTGAATAAAAATAGGGATGAAATGTAGAGTTCCAAAAACCCTTCATGTCCTGGGAGGTTATTGAATACCTGGGAGTTTTTTATTTTTAATTTATTGTTTTGTTAATTCACATTACTTTTTTTTTCAGGTTTATAAATCTGCTGAGTTTACTTGAAAAGCAAAATACTGTAGTACTGAACCCACCTGGGATCTGGAAATCTCTGCAGTGGCTGAATCTTCTACCTGGCCTCTGTAGAAAAAGTGTCCCTTCCCTGTGAACCACAGTGTAGTTTTACCAGTCAGTCTATGAAGTGTTCATCAGCTCTGTGTGGCTCTGAACTCACCTGATAACCATGCGTTAATGAAGAGGATGCCCACTGCAATGTTATACTTCAAACCATAAAGGGTGACCCCACCCTGAGGAAAAACACAGTGTTAWAAYAATACTGATGCTGTACTCAAAACATGCATATTGAAGGATGGGTTTACACCATCATCCTCAGAGGAATGTACAGGAGACCACTCTGAACCATTGTGAAGAACCACTCTTTAAAACCTCACATGGTTCTGATGGAAAAATATGTTCAAATATGAAATCACAAGGTTTGTTTTCTTGTCAGGTTTTGAGAATAGAGAGATTATTTGTTAAGTTGCTGAGGTTGGGACATTTTGTGTTTTTTCAGAGCTCAGTGTGGCAGCCATATTCAAGTGGGCTGATGTAAACAAATAACTATCCCCAGTACGTAAACCTAACCCCATCCACAAATACAGCATGTAAATGTATGGGATCCAGGCTTTGGGCTCCAGAAGGAGCAGTGGGTTCTTACAGGCAGGACACAGGKGTGGCCAAGGTGTTTTTAGGTGGGTACATACAAATGAAGAAAACCACTCTGGATTTGAAAATTCAAGATAACTGCCACAGCTAATACTAAATGGCTTTAATTCAGCTGTTTTAAGAAACACTGAGCTAAAAATTTTCATGATCCTAACTGAGAATGATCTAAAACATCATGCTGAATGCTAGCCACAACTAATTATTCAGTCATTTTTAGACACAAAGCTGAAGATTAGTGTAGAAGTCGCTGGAAACAATCTAAATGCTCATCTMAAATTCAAGATGGCCACCACAGCTAACTTTAAAAGGCTATAATTCAGCCATTTTTAGACTTAATTGAATTAGTTGGAATAGATAAGAACAGTCATATCCTGATTGCCGATGCTACTCCCAAATTAGGCTAACCACTACTGCTAAAGCTAATTTTACAAAGTGCTATAATTCAGCCTTTCTTAAACACACATCTGAAATTTCATATAATACAGTAGCATCGGAGAACAACCTTTAACAAGATCTAAATGCAAATACAAAATCCAAGATTTCCACCAACTTGTTATCATGATCTGTTTTTACTTTCATTTTCTAGTGTTTCTCTGTTCCCTTGTGTATCTCTTGCCTGTTGTCTTGCCTCCAGCCCCGCCCACATCCACCTGTTGYCTCTTGTGTCTCCCCAGGTGTTTCCCATTGTCTCTTAATTAGTTTGCTTTATATTCTGTGTCTTGTCATCATTGTTTGTCAGATCATTGTTTCCCGTTTTGTCTGCGTGCCTGTGAGTTTTGCCTCTTTACTAAGAGTGTTTTTGAGCTGCCTTGCCAGCCTTTCTTTGGTTAAATTAAAGCTTTTGTTTCGTTTTTGAACCTCGTCTGCACCCTGGGTCTTTTCCTGCCTGAAACCTGACACTTAGCTATAAGAGGGTGGTACATGGGATGGCCAATTAGGCGCCAAGGCTGGCACTTGCAATCCAAGCCTTGGCTCCGCCCCTGCTCATAAGGTAAACACACCCACACACTGACAGACAGATTCTGATTGCAACACCCAAAGCCTATTGACAAGTAGGAAAGTGTTTTTAAATGATTGATTGTAGAAAAAAAGTAGATATTTTATA